TTCTGGGAGTTGAAGTCCACCCATCTCCAAGTGGCCAAGGTTGAGAAACATTGCTCTAGGGTTTAAATTCCAACGTTATTTTCCATCCTACCTTTAGGACTCAAGGCAGGGTACCTAGCATCTCCTCCCCTTATTTCCCCAACAACCCCCCTGCGAGGTAGGTTGGGCTGGGCCCAAAGTTACCAAGGGGCTTCTGTGGCGGGGGTTGGAGCGTGACAAAAATTGGGTCTTCCTGGCTGTAGCCCAAGCCCTCACCATAACACCACACTGGTTTTCCAATCTTCATCTTTTTTGGGTGGTCTCTGCAGGCAGAATTTTTGGAGCGTTTATTTTCCTGGACACCCACTGCTGAATAGAGGGGCCTTCTTTAGAAAGCTTTCTGCCAACAATGTTCAGAAAATACCAAACCTGCCCCACTGCAGCTCCCTCCCTAATTCACTCACCCTCCCTTCTTAATTTGGGCACAGGGGTCTCGGGAAAAAGTCAAATCAAATCCGAGTCACAGCAATTTTCTTCTTCCTTTGTGAGCAAACTGTACCTAAAACAATTCAGGAGACCAAAAAGTCATTCAGCCAAGTCTTTTAATTAAAATACTTCATAGCACCATAGAGTTGTTGAGGGCATTCACATGAAATGCATTTTTTTTCCTGCGTTTTCCTTTCGCTGGGGATCTTTGCTGACCTGTTGAACCACTGTTCATGGTGCCTCACTGCTGGAAGGGGAGATCCCACCAACGGGAATTCTGCTGAACAGAAGGCAAAAATCAGCTAATTGAGACCGTCTTCTGCAACCTGATGCCCTCCAGATGAGGTGGACTTTCAGCAAGGAATCTGAAGGCCATCGGGTTGTGGAAGACCAGAGCTGTATCTCATTGGAAAAGATGGACAGGTGGAAGCTCCTGGATAGGAAAGAGACAAGCCTCGTCCCTAATCTTATCCTTTGACAAGGCAGCAGGCTAGGAGTCCGAGGGAGGCCCAACAAGCAGTTCATCTCGATACGATGGTACGATACCTCCGTTTATGCTAGAGAAACAGTCACACCAAAATCACTCCATATCCATTTTTTTTTACAGCTTGTTCAAAATAATTACTTCCAAAGTTTAAAATGAGTGCATTAATACGAGTTTTAAAAGCAATTTTAAAAGAAAGGTTGTATGGTATTACAATGAAAAGCCCGCACGCTGAGGCAGGCGTCCCCCGGTCAGAGGAGGACGGCTTCTTCCGAGGCCCGCACAGGAGCACCGCTGAACATTAGCACCTCTAGCTGGGGACACGGCCCTTGGGAGGGCTTGGCTGCAGGCCCCCCGGCCGGCTCTGAGGCTGACCAGAAGGAGGGGGCAATCCCCCCTTCTCCCAACCGCTCAGTCGGCCAGCGCCCCCATGGGATCCCACGCGGGCAGACAAATGGGCTCTTGCCGCAACACTGCCAGGACGTCCTCTGCCACGTGCTTCTGGTCAACCACCACTTCGTACACGAACTCGGAGAACCAGTCGTCCGTCATGATGAGGTAACCTGGAAGAGACATCGAGGAGAGGCGTCATCTAGCTGCAACCGCCCGCTCTGAGAAGTCCCCGATTCGCATCCGGGGTGGGGAGAGGAAGGACTGGCTGCGGCCAAGCAACCAGTCAGCGAGGGCAGCCTGAATCCGACAGGCAGGTTTGCCAGCTTGAAGGCCAAACATCTTTGCTTGCCAGCAGAAGGGCAATGCAGAAGGACCTGGCCTGACCTCCTTAGGCGGGGTGTGGCAGAACCTGGGACCCAATCCCTTCTTGTATCCCCCCGAACACGTCCCCATGGGAGGGCGGGTCAAGAGACGGCCCCCTCTGCATGGTCTTAAGCCTTCCTAAGAAACATCTTCCAGGTGCCCAGCTGTGTTCCAAAAGCAGTACTCCGATGGGAAGCAGGAGCCAGTACACTTGAAACCAATCTATGGATTAATATCTTTACCCACTGGCTAAAATTACACCATAACCCCAGTGGGCTGACCCATCTAATACTGGCAGATAACTTTGAGACGACCTGGAAAACAGCTATCCAAGAGAAACTGAGTCTCTATGGGTTTTCCAATGACGCCATTTTGACTTTAGAGTTTGACCGAGCCAGGTCACTACTAAGGCAAAGGATCTTAGATACAGAAGGCCAA